CCTGTGGTGGCCTGAGCACTCTGCCAACAAAAACGGGCTCCGGTGTTCTGTTTTTGACTGCAACAGCCTCTTGCAACACTCTGCCAGTGAAAACAGAGCTTGCAAGGGCTACACAAGGCCCTCCCTAGCTCCATTTTTGCTGGCAGAGGCTGGTCCTTCACTGTTTCCAGGACGTCCCATGGACCAAATCTAAGTACCCCATGGGCCAGTAATGAGCTATTGTGAAGGGAACTAGAAATAAGGGAAAGCTGATTTTCCCATGACATCTGCTCTATGCTTTGTTAATCATTTTTGTTTCTTATTCTTGACAGTGCCAACAGGTGATTTTACAGTCCTTTATTGTGGCCCACGCTTTGGCCAGTGACGTTGATTTTCACGTCTTTACCTTTAAGGACTTTGGCAAATGCGTCATCAAGAAATGTCGCACTAGTCCGGATGCTTTCATCCAGCTTGCCCTTCAACTAGCACATTTTCGGGTAAGACACTTGATTAATCAGTTGTAAATATGTTGTTTATTTTGAAACATTATAATTAGGAAATTATTGGAGAAGATAATTGAAGAAAAAGTCTTTTTTTCCTTATAGCAGAATAAGTAGTAACTTTGATTGCATTTATACAGAAGAAATGAATTGGAAGTACCGTATTTTTCAGAGTATAAGATGCACAAAAAAAGGCTGAAAATCTGGATGCTTCTTATACACCGAATACAACATTTTTTGCCTCCTGAAGCCCCGCCCCTTCACCAAAATGGCCATGCATAGCCTTATAGAGGCTTTCAGAGAGCTCCTGAGAGCTGGGGAGGACAGAAATGAGCAAAAAACAGGCAGTTTTTGTCCCCGCCCCCGGCCCCAGCAGCACTCTAGAAGCATCCATAAGGCTATGCATGCAATTTGTTTGACAAAAAACAGGCCCGTTTTTGCGAAAAATGGGCTGTTTTTTGCTCATTTTTGCCCCCCCTCCAGGAGCACTCTGCAAGCCCCCCCAAGGCTATTCATGCCTTTTTTTGAAAAAAAAACACAAGCCCATTTTCGTGACAAATGGGCTGTTTTGGGGAGGTTTGCAGAGTGCAAAAACTTTTTTTTCCCTTTTGGAAAGCTCTTTAACTGATTGATGAGAATTATATTGATCAAGTGCTGTGCCAGCAGAAAC